TTCAAACCGCGCACTTTTTTCCCCCTAATATCACGGTTTACCTGTGTTATGTGAAATCCGGGGAAAATRGGACTAAATAAATAAACCTGAAAATGCGCATGCTCTTMGAGTAAATATTACAAACCGCTGATCATCTTCGCGCGTAACAAAACGAAGTTTTGGCGGAATTTTWGTGAAATTCAACGAAAAAATACTACTTTTTTAAGGTAAATTTAAACATAATTAATCTATTACAAGTGCCATTTCARTAGTCTTTAATATCCAAGTAAAAATTCTACTGTAARAGCTGTGTTTSGTGCGTTACGACTACCATTCCTCGMGAATGAGAGAGAGAATTGTGATTAACCACTAAAGAAAATATCGAATCTTGATCATTAAATTGACGTGTAGTGTTCTTTCCTTTCCAATGCTTTATGTCACGTAATTTGATTCTGCTGTTCTTACTTCATTTTGTGTTGAACAGCTGATAGACAAGACTTGTGGCACTATAGCATAGTATACGTGTGACTTGTAGATTTCAGCTTGTAAAGATCACGTTGCGATAAGTTATTTGTTTTGAAGAATTATAACTATATGAATCTCATTGAAAAAGTCACGATTGTTTAATTATTGAACTGTTTTCATTGAGAAATGTACTTTGGTAATTTAATTTCTTGTACATAATAATTTACAAGTGAGAAAGCTTGCTGTAATGTTAAAGCTTAAAATAACGACTTCAAATGAGCTTACATGTATTTTGTAATTTTAGATCATAGATTGATTTGAAATATTTCTTTTAATTGGAGTCATATAAAAGAATATAATTCCAAGTTCCTGGATAATATATTTTTGTACATTTTGCTGATTTCTCGAAAAGYAACTTTGTTACAGAACCACTTGAATTACATGGCAGCAAAAATTAATAAACATTTRAWTGTCMAATTTCTTTTAAAATAAATTTTTTTATAGTAGTAAAATGATGGCAGTACCAATAAATTTAGCACASATTGAGATTTAACATATTATTGAAACAGAAATAAGCCTAATAATGACCCACACTAACAATTTAAATTAAAATGTCATATGTCACCAAGTATTATGCCTAGAGCAGATTTTGTATGACTGTGTGCAAAGACACAGACAACAGCAAGGATATAACTTAAGACAGTCAATGAAACTCACCAGGTAGTGACGCCAAATGAAAATACTGATTCACTAGTACATCACTACATCACTGTCTTAGCATAGTACATAAAAAGTGTCATGTTTTTTGCAGTCATAGGAAATCCATTCTACTAGAGTGCACGTCACATAAGCATGAAACAATTCTTAATATGTATTGCTAAATAAGATTTAGTCATCAACTAACTAAAATTCAACAAAGCATAAACACAATGCCAATTATTTAAATTCCTTTGTAGCATTGTTCTCAATTCTTAGTTAGTTGATAACTAAATCTTATTTAGCACTACATAGTTAAGAATTGTTTCATGGTTATGTGACTTGCACTCTACCTAAATGTTTGAATTCCTTACTATTAACAWCMATTGACAGTTTYCTTTACTCAATTTCAGAAACTAAAATGACTGAACTTGACACAGCACTAGACAGCAACCTTGAAAGTCTACAAGCTGATCCGACAGGCATCAAGATATCAGACCAAGAGCGTCAACTTGCCAACCAGGCACATGTAGAGTTTGAAAGCCAACAGTATGAAAAGTGTTTAGAAGCTCTAGATAAGCTTGGAGATTTACGTCAAAGTGATCACAAAGTCGTGCATAATAAAGCTGTTGCTCAGTTTTACCAAGCAAAGTTCACAAAGACTGATGAGTTTTATAAAAATCTAATGTCCACCAAAAAACAGGTAAGAAAGGATAGGTATTTTTGTACTAGAGTTCAAACACTAAAAGTGTGCATCATGAATAACACTAAAAACTGCTAAATTATGTTAATTAAAAAGTGCAAAGTGTTACATACATTTAGTGTTTGTACTCCATTATGTACTTTTAAAAACATTTTAATAATTTTTTAGAATAAAGATTAACGCAAGTATCCGACGTTTTGGAGCCATACTGACTCAATTCTCAAGGACTAAACTTTAATTAAATAAATGCAAATATAAGAGAAAACAAAACAATGGCATAATGATAAACAAAGATTTTAGCACGAATTGAATCCGACTGTTTAACAATGGCTCGCACGCCCGTATGTAAAGCATCTCGTGAACGAGACAGTATGGCTCCGAAACGTCAGATACTTACATTCTAAATCGTTATTTTAATAATTRTTTCTCTGATAACAATGCAATTAGAGCATACTAAGGCGTCAACTTATGTCGTGTCTATTTCACGGGTTTTTTGACTTTGCTCTGTACTGTAGTAATGATTATTTAATAATAATTAATTAATTAATAATAATAAATGTGTGATTTTCATTAAACCCTTATTACTCTTTATGTTGTATTATGTTTTTCTTTATCTTCTTACTTTGGATAAATAGTTCACTTTGTTTTAAGTGTTATTAATTGTGAAAACCATTCTAATATTGTATCTTTGATTTTATTAGGTTGAACATCAGATAGGTGATGATTCTGATGACCTTGACATGGCCTATCTGCTGTACAATGAAGCTGTAGTGTGTTATAATGTAAGTATCATTCYTCACTTTATCAATGAATAATGAATCTTGTAAAAGCTTAAAATTGCATTTCTTTTGTTTGGATTTGTGTTGTGGGGGTTAAAGAATCATAACCACCCGCCGTACCTTGCGAACCAAAGCTCCATTTTAGGTGGACACGAAAATGGCGGATTTGTAGGATTTCTTAAAGTGAGCGCCAATCGTCTTCTGTCCTTTCAGTTTGGACAGAAATATCTTTAACTAAGTACCTCACAGGTACTATCAATCTATAATTTATTGTATGCTTTACGCATTTAAATGTATGTAAACAATAATACGAGCGCGCAAAGTACGACGGGTGGTTATGATTCTTTAAAGAAGGGGGAAGGGGGATGGCTGTATAAATAAAGCCTACTACCAAGGAGGATCATGGGAGGACAAAAAATGAGACCTATTTTATGTGTATAAATTATAGTGTTTCACTTTGCGCATAATGATTGTAGTAAATATTACTTGTGTTCGTATGCTTCACTTTTAAACCAATTTTTTTTTTAATTTCACCATCTAGATTTATTTGCCAAAAATCTTGAATAATGTATTCATATGTTTGTTAACTGTTTAAAAAGGTTTTAGTCTATTATTGTTAGAAACCATATGTTGTTTTTTTTAACTTTTAGCTAAGACAATACAACACAGCAGTTTGCACCTTAAACAGGTTGTTTAATGTCGTTGAACCTTTAGGTAAKTATTGTGTTGTAATTAAAGTGTTTTGTTGTAATATATCTAGAAGATTGTATAATATTATTTGAATTTTCAGATGAAAATCTGGCATTGAAAGTATGTTTTTTACTTGCTGAAATTTATCTTATATTGTACAAGGTATGTAATGTTTATCTACATTTTGTATTCATTCATCTGTTTTCTCATGTATCCTCTCCTTTCCCTTCTGGTTTCCCATTTTATCGTTCATATGTTTTTCACCAAATTCCCCAGCTGTTTAGTTTGATATTCTTCTCTAATTTTCAATTGTACAA